GCGCCCTTAGTGTTTTGCCCTGGTGTGGTGGGCTCAGATCGGGCATAATTCCCACACTGTGCCTCCAGTGTTGTCCCTTGTAGCAATATTGGTCAGTGAGGGATGTCTTGTCTCACACTGGGGCCGGTCCTATGGTCCTCTCTGTGCATTGGCTACTCTGAGCAGGAACATTGTCCTCAGGGCTTGGTGGGCCAGGAGATGTTCCCCTCACTTTTCTTCCCTCTTTGTTTGCTCCTGTGTGTTCTGATCAGATAGACCCCTCTCCCTGAGCTGTAGCTTCAGTGCTGTCCCCTGAAGTACATTCTTCTGGGGGGAGAAGGGGTGTCCACATAATTGGGATTGGGCCGGCCCCACAGACCTCTCTATTGGTTCCCTGAGGTGCCTGACCTTTTTAATAGGCCATTCCTCCCTCTTAGGGATCTTTTACTTTTCCTCTCACTGGTCAGTTATGGCCCATCAAGTTCCAAGATTATGTCCTCTATGAAGTCATGCCTGCTTTTACAATAGACAGCCCCTTTCTGCTTCCTGCAGCACCTGTCCATCTTTGTGTTGCAGGGGGCAGTCATGCTGCATTTCAGTGTGTCCTTGTCTTCATGACTGCACTTCCACATGGGCGGGGCAGCATGTCTTCGGCCTCCATGTTTTCCTGGCACATGTCACAAGGGAGGCACCCAGGAAATGCTTGATGGAATAAGTTAATAGGCTTGTGATGATTAGGACGAGTCGATGCTGTAGTAGCAACATAGCTCTCTGCTGCTCACTGCCAAAGAAATAAAAAGAATTATTATCTTTGTGAGAAGTTTCCTGTTTAACCAGTTCTCTGAACTTGGCCCAGCAGGCAAGGGGCTGTGGCATCAGGGTAGGCTTCCCAGAAACCTTGGAAAAGGCACAAGTGTAGAACTGGAAGCAGGCCCTGGGGATGGATGATGGGCATCCTGTTTTCTGCAGCTGCTGCACTTTCACGGTGACAATTGGGCCCCTCCCCACCCAGACCTGATATAGAGTGCCCAGGACTGAGGGCCTTTGTGCGGGGACTGCAGCAGAGATGGGAAGGATGCTGCTTTGGGCTGGTGAGTCACGGAGAACCAATCCCTTTCCCCCTTCTTTGCTAAACTCTGAGAGTATTCGCCAGCAAGGATCTGGGAACAGGAACACAGCCCCTAGCACTCATAAACAAAAGCGCCGTGTGGAATTCCCATGGCATTTCTCCCTTCTCTTGGCATGCACACCATTCCCATCAGGCGCCTGCTTTGCCAGGCTGTGGGTGTTTTCCTCTTTTGCCCGTGGTACAGAGCAAGAAGAGTGAAGCCCTGCATCCTGTGGTAGAAGGTGCTGGAGAACTTCAGACTTAGCTGGTGGGCATTTCCATGTGTTTCTGGATCCTTCTGGGTGAAATGGCTTCCTACCAACACACTCC